TACTCTTGGGGGAAGAAGCAGGGGGCGGGAGAAGTTCATTTTGCTGCGGTCTGCAGTCTGGACGTTAGATGTCGCTAAAAATTACACACTGTTGCTTTAATGAGCAACCTGTACTTGTGTGCTTGTTTGTTCTGTCTAAAATGTTTATTTTGGAATAAAGAGGTTAATATAAAAAATATTTTTTGTCCGATTCATCGATTAATCGAAAAAATAATCGTCCGATTCATCGATTTTTAAAATAATCGTTAGTTGCAGCCCTAATATGTGTATGTGTATATATATATATATATATATATATATATATATATATATATATACACACACACACTTTGAATTGGTCACAATCTCACCCTTGCATCGTTACAAAAATCTATACAAACATCCCTCAATTTTTATATAATTTAAATGACAATTTAAAATGTATATATAAAAAAAGTAGAATTTTGTTTTCACAACAGGTAAAAATGAATGTTCCTCTGCAACGTATAGCTAAATGTATCAGTTTAGATTTTCTAAAGCAAGGTCATTTTAAACATGCAGCAGCGTCACTGTCCTTAAGCCGAAAAGGCTGAGAAAATTGAATAGTTCGCTCAGAATTGAGTTCTAGCTAACATGATACACAATATTAACATGGTCGGTCGTTTGGAGCTTTTCTACTTATGTAGTTCAGGAAAAAAATGCTTATAGAAGTAATTATGTAGCCACGTAACCTTGTGAAAGGTTTTCGCATCGTATAAACATAAACCCAATCAGAACTCCGTTATTTTTATGAATGGCGACTCCTGCTAATCAAGCTAACAACCACCCAGTTCATTCAATACATGGGATATGCTGCCGTTTACACAAACATGTTGCGTGATTTATTTGACAAGCTTTTAAAAATCTAGATACTTTGGTTTCTGAAAACAAAGCTGTGGTCAAATTAATGCAACCGCTTTGTCATTTTAAGCGGCTGTTTACCGCGTGTAGACGCGGAGAAGCGCAACATCAAGCTAGTTAGTTTTCGGCTAGTTAGCCGCAGTGGCTACAACATTTACATGCAAAAAGATCAAATGTCTTAGTCGTAAACCTCTCCGACCAGGTGCATATATAATCTGCACTTTTATTCAGTGTTTTACTTTGAACATTTTGATCTAAAAACCCCTTTTTTCCCCTTATATCTGACCTGTTGTCGTTAAACCCAAGAGTTTCGCTCTCTGTCTGGTCCGCCATTACAGGAAAGTGTTAGGCTGTCTTCCTGGAAACGCCCCCAAGAGCTAATCTTGTGTTTCTATTGGCCAGTCGTCTCCGTCAATAACCGTCGAGTTCAATCTACGCGCTCTTCGATTGGATAACAATCTTCTCGGGAGCCTTCAGCTAAATTGTTATTGGTCTCCATTTATTACTTTATGTTCGTTCAGGGTAGAGCTACTGATTTTAAACACACATTGCCTTGCTAATGTTTCTTGCTATGTCTCATTTAAACTTAGTAAAACCTTGTTCAACAATTTGTTGAACTTTGAATTTGAATTTATTTGAAACTTAGCAGCCTCTTTCAAAGCTAAAAATGATTAAACAGAAGCCACTTATTGAGTGTTATGTTTAGTATTTGAGATTGTTTCTTTTTTAATATGAAGTCATGAATACACTATTTTCTGTATAGTGTTCCAAATATGTCTGCCCATATAACCCATATGCTGGCTTATGCACCATGTTGTTTAAAGGTTGCCAACCCAGAATGATGTCAGAGCAAAAAAGCTGTTTAATAACTCTGCTGCACAATCGTCCTCAGAGGGAGCTGCCAGTAACCGCTGCTGAAGTTTGTCATATCTGTCACAGAAATTGAGGGCTATAAAATAAAAAAAAAGAATAAATCGAACAGTCTATGGACAAGTTTCTGACTGACTTCAAAACCAGACGATTCAAAATATCAAAATCTGGGTATCTGAACCAGTATACCAAACCTTAAGGTATACCTTTGGCCAGTGGAGTTGAGGGCAGCTGAATAATCTGTCGTCTGGACAGGGCAAACAAAATGGGCCTGAGGGAATGGGGCCATCAGCTGACCTGAAGGTGTGTGAGGAAGCAAAGATAATATTTGACTCCAGTGGTCCTGGCGTTTGGCCATGTCTCCCCTCTAAAGCCCCTCCACTGTATTCCCTCCTCTTGGGGTGATACTCATAATCTGGCATGGAAGTGAGAGAAAAATAAATAATTTACTGTGAT